GTGGTTCGACCCCGGTCTTGCTGGGTTATTTATTACTTCGACACTCCTGCACTTGGGAGAAGACATCAATCTTTTAGTCGTGTCATAAATCAATGATGTTTTTAATTTATCTAAGTTAAGCCAAGATAAGCCACCATGCTCATGACCTCATTAAGCAACTTGGTTGTCTAATAACTTTAATTTTTTGAATTATTTTTTTATTCAATTACATGATAATAAAATAGACATAATCTCATTTTAAAACAAAGTAAAAAAACTTAATTGTATTTAATAACATAAATTCTAAATATATTTTGGTATTTAATAAAATAATATTTCAAATCTATTTTTATTGAATTTATATTAATGAATTTCAATAGAAATTGAAGACTGTTGGGTTGGGCCTTTACCTCGCCCAAGTTCCAAATTAAAATGTGTTAGAGTTGACCTTTTGTGACCTAATTGACTAAGCAAGTTCAAACATGAACCAGTTAAACTAGAAAAAACCAGATTTAACTTCAAAAAAATTTAAGGTAACATCATTTTAATATTTAAAAAAATATTAAGATAATAACGTCTTGGATCGACCTAAGTCAATCCATGTTAACTCGATAAACACATGATATGGTTGATGAACTTAGGTTGATCTATCAACTATTTTTTAGAATCAATTTTTTTTATTAAAGTATACAATAATAAAAATCAACATATACATAAAAGCAAATGAATTAAATTTAATAAAAAAACCAAAGAAGAAATATCTTAAATTGTTGTACAAAAGAGTACTAATACATTAAAAAATTATAATCTTTACCGAAAGAAACTTAAAAATGAGTGGTATTCAATTAAAAAAAATACTTGAATATATTTTTAATGGAATTAAACTAAAATTTTAGAAAAAAATATTAAAAAAGCTAAAATAAACTAGGCATTTGAGTTTATATAGACCAACTCATCTAATCCATAAAATAAAAGTCAAGCTTGCACATTTGGCTCTATTATATATTTTTTCTATTAATTTTTTCTAATATTAGATGACACATCATCTATTATAAAATATGATGCATCATTTAGTAGTTGACTTTCTGATCACCTTTCATGGTTGAAAAGTTATAACATCCTTTAAGTATCTAAAAAAAGATATTTTTCAACCCCTATTTAATTGAAAACACCTAAAAAACATATTAGAGACCTCAATAAACTTATTTTAAATCTTAAATTAGGATTTAATTGATTAAAAAATAAAAAATCAACACGAACCTAAAAACAATTTTAAGCCCCAATTTATTCTATCAAGCAAGAAGAAGGTCCAAAAACATCATAAAACTCCTATCATTTAAAAGAACTCATTTGATATGATCAAAGAACAGGTTGAACAAAGAAATTTGGATTATAATGTTATTATGTTTACTATCCAATTTTACACTATTGAGTATAATTTTTAATCCGACAGTTGAATCAGGTTGAAGATTTACCAAGAGTTTCTAAATATAATTTTTCTATATTGGATTAAAATTTCAGGTCAATTAGGATTCATAAGGGTCTTGCAATAAATATCAGAAAATACAATATAAATTTTTATTTATTTGTTGCCTTCTGACATATATACTTACTATTTGGAGATGATATTTTTCCTCATAATACAATGATATTCATTAGCTTGCTTTCGAGAGTTTACTAGTTTTAAAAGAATCTTTAATGGACATTAACATAGTTTTCAAGTATGATAAAGATTTCTTAATATTTCAAAATTATTTTTTTATAAGGATTTCTTATTTATCCTAGTTATAAAAAAAAATAAAAGAAGCAAAGTTGGAGAATTTAATAGAAAAATACTTTTGAGTTAAATTATTTTAAGGTTTTATTTGTTTTTATTATTTTTTATTTGAATATTTATATTCAATTTAGACCTTGTGTTTTAGTTTGAATTTCTTTTTGCCCAAAATCAATATTTTAGTATTATTTTAAGCATTAGACTTATTAACTGATTATTAACTTCGGCTTTTTGATTTACAACCCATTAATAATTCATTAAGGTTATTTAGAAGGACTATTTTTATCTTTTTTGTTGCAAAATTCAGCAAACATAATGTTTTGAATAGATTTGTATTTTGTATGATGCAACGCTTTTCTTTTTTTATATGACAAAAAAAAAATTAATTTATCAATATATAATTGACCTTGTAGCATCTTTCAAGATTTATAATTCTTTATAACCAACAAGTCCAAGTTTAATTTTCAATACCTTTTATTTTTAAGTACAAAGTTATCTATCGATCAAGATTCATTCATCTCAAACTTTATTTTAGGTTTTTTGGATTTTTCATCTCATTCATTATAGGTTTTGAGATTATTATCTAAAGATTTGCATCATTATGGATACTAAGATTCATCTTTTTTCATTACTAGAATGTAGTCAATACTAAAATTAACTTTTTTTTATTACTTGAATATAACTTTTAGATAAAAAAAATTTATATAATTTTCTAATAACTTTTTCCCTCTTCTTGATAAATAAATAAAACAAATTTATGGACTAAAACTAAAACCCAAAAAACTAAAGGGATCTTAAAAAAAGAAAAAGAATAATAAATAGATTAAGAAGCATTTTTTTGGGACAAATTTAATACTGTCAATCTCCTTTTTCTTACCTTATAGTTTGGTAATTTTTCTTTTAATATCATCATAACTCATTAAATTATACACCAACCAAGTTTAAAAATATGAAGGAAAAAAAAAAACCTTCATATCCATGAAACTCGTGAAGTCTCGTTAGAGAAATTCATTGAAAAAAAAAACAATAAGAAGAAGCAACGTTTTTATGGGGGAGATGACACTATGATTTTTTCTATAATAAAAACACTATATGCTATTTTTTTTAATAATTAATAATTAATGACCATGCCCATAGTTTTAAACTTGGTCTGATCCAGCAGGTTAACCTGGAATTAGATCCAAGTCGAGTTAAAAAAAAAAATTCAGTATAACCTAGCTAACCAGGTAAATTGACCTGGAGAATTGGTTGACTCGATAAGATTTCATTAAAATCCGGTTGTAAACTCGTTAACTTTTATTTTTTTATTTTTTATTAAATAATATTATTTTAATTTTTATAAAAAAAATAAAATTTAACCTAATTAAAATACAATAATTTAGTCAAAACTCAAAATTTAAATCTTGGATCGGACATGATCTTAAAACCATGGACATGCCTTTGCAGGATTCGAACCTAGAAGATAGCTTGGCTACGCCTGGAGGGCGTAGCAGGGACATTTTAGTACTCGTACACATAGGGAAATCTAATCTGACGAGAGAAAATAGAGCACACAAAGCGGGAAGAAGAGAGGGAAAACAGTTGATTTATCCAAAACATTGTCTGAATGAACCTATTTCTTAAAATAAAATGGCTGCTTTTGGATTGAATCAGCAACTGCTTTGCTTCTCGAACTCGCATTCTAGGACAACAACAAAACCATGTAGTGCATGGTTACTCTGCAGCAAAACAAGCGTGTTCATTATCCCTCGAAAGAAGGGTCGTTTCTCTCTAACTTCTTGTAATTCTCAGTCCTCCTCTGAAGCCAATATTCAGACTGCAGAGTCCTGTGTCAATTTGGGTCTCTCCCTCTTCTCTAACGGACGGGTAATGGATTCTTCTGGGTTTCTTGAATTTTGCTGATTCTTGTCCAATCTCTCTGAGTATTCCACTTCTGTTGCATGGGTTTGTTCTTCTTCTTTTTTCTTATTTAGTTGGTTCATATTTATGGTTGATAATGTAGCTTTTGGTGATTTAGATTTTGGGTTTGTTACATTATGATTTTTTTAAGCATTCTTTCTTAATTAAGGACTTTGCTTTATTAATCCGCCTTCTAAATTGAAGAGAACGGTACCATTTTTCACAGCGTTTAGTTTCATTATCTCTTTAGAATTATCCTGGTTTTCCACTCAATTTGTCAACACATTTTCCCGTTCCAACTACATGTCATTTGTTTTCTGAGGCATATTACTAAACCATTTGAGGCTAGTTAATCTGTTATTTATCATAGTCATGATGGCATGTATTAATAATGTCTACGGAGTTTAACAATCTAACCACAATGATAAAATTTTCAGGTTAAAGATGCTTTAGTTCAGTTTGAAACAGCACTTGATTTAGACCCCACCCCAAGGGAGGCCCAAGCTGCACTCTATAACAAAGCCTGCTGCCATGCCTACCTGTAGGCTTCTGTATAGCTTACTCTTTTCGTGAATGGAATTTAATCATAACATGTTTTATTTCACTTTGATCATTCACTTTCATCTAATTGCTTTGTTATTTTAATTATGATGTATTTTAAACGAATAGAAATGCTTCATGTAATGAATGATAGGGTTCCATAGCATTCTAATGAATGACTATTTTGCAAGATATAAACTCGTATACAGTATGTACGTCAGTCTAAAATTTTGTGAGATTTGTTTCTTCCTTCTTGAAGATGTTGCAGTCTTTTCCTTTGTAAAACTCAAACTTAGGAGGACTTTTCAGGTGAAGCCTTTAATCTGTCAGTGCCACAAGTTTAACAATAATTTCTATTCTTTCACATCTAATTAAGCTGATCACATCTCAACTTCAATGTATCTTTTATTTG